TTCTAAAACACACTCTTTGTTAAATAACTGGCTCAGCTTTGAGAAATTAAGGGTTATTACACAGATTTACACTGCTAATCTATAGGTTTAATTTATGGATTTCTACTGGTCTGCAAATAAACCACAATTAACTTGGATTTTCCTGATGAACTTATATTTTTTATTTCTAGTTTCCATTACCACCTTTTAATCTAAGGATGACTCATCTACTACCACATAAAGATTTATCTTTACACTTGTAAAAAACTGACTGAGTTAGCAGGTATTTTTGTGTTGACTACTGAATAATGTACAGAACATGTCAAACTCAAGGTCTGCAGGCCAAATGTGGCCCACCAAGCCATTTTATGTGGTCCGCAAGAGCTTCACTAACCAGAAACTACATCTCCCATAACGCATGCTGATTATTTTACATGCAGCATCCCACCACCAGGTGGMGCTGCACAAGGTTCCAGACTAGACGGCGGCATAGAATCTCCATTTTGCTACATTTTTGCCAGCTACATTTGCTGTGGTCCAGTTATACTGGGAAGTGGGAGTTTTCCTACTTACAAGTCAAACATTTAAACAGGATCATCTCCCTAGTGGGAATTCCCTGTTGAAAAGTGGGAAATTTCAGAATTCAAGATGGCAGCTCCTCACCACAACTCAACAGTGAGTAAAACTCTCTTACTTTTACATTTAATAGTATTTCTGTAATTATTTCACATTTATTTAGTAGTAGTACACGCAGTCTTTTTATTGTTTACAAGAGGATGTGTTTAAACACTGTTTCTATGCAGGAAATATCAGGTAGAGCTCAGTCGTAGAATTTTAAACCTWTTTTTTTGGTTCCACTCTCGGAGAATTATGACATTTTTCCCGTCTCTCCTGCCCTCGCTTATCTTTCCCTGCTTTGCTGCTCGGAGCCTCCTCTACGTTTTTTATCCAAAACCGAAAATTATGGATATTTTTATGGATTTAGTTAACTGGTCTCTTAATAAATTTTTGAAACAATTTTTTTCCATGGGAGGACATGTCAAATGTGGGACCTCTGTTCTGCTCTGTTCTGGATATATATTTGGATTCTGATCACTGGATTCTACAGATTGGCTTGGTGGTCTCCTGGTGTTCAACAAAACAACATTGGTGGCTATTCAGGCCATTTCCTGGCTGCCTGACCGATATGAAGGATTGCCGTTCTATCAGCACTCAGACTTTAGCCTTGAGCGAGCTGGACTTGGTCTGCAAGCGGTTCTGGTGAGGGTTGCGGGCCGGCTGTGGTTCCTGGACTTTGCTGGTGAGATGGAATTGATCTTGGAGAAGCTGATAGCTCAGCTCGGCAGAATTGTCCACATTATTTGTCTGATTGGATTCGCCACATTGAGAAGTACCAGCGGACATTAAGGCAGATGAAAAATACTATTGTCTGCTGGCCAAAAACATGGTCTTCTGTTCCCAAACAACTGGTTACAAATACCCCCCCCCCCGACCTTGAAGGCTGTGGATCTAATTTCTCCTGGTGTTTACGTCAACTTGTGGCTCCTCCCCATCTCACTCCATCTAATCTGATTCCCTGAAGGTCAATCTGGAGCTGGCAGAATGAACAATTCAACACCAGTATTCTGAACTTATGGCTGAACTACGGGATTTTATTTTGGGAGGCTCAATTCTTCGGACTCATTTCCTCTAAACTCACTTACTCGTCTGGCTAATAAATGTGTTCTTGTTAATAGAGGGTTTTTGTTTTTATAAACAYCATAGTGTATCATATTTCGTCAATATACTATAATGTTTTGTTTTTGTTTATTTTCCCTCATCTAACCCTCTGTGGTATTTTCTTTTTTCTTTTTAAAGGTAACCTGTTCCCCCATGTTTTTGTCATGTGTGTCTCTTTAACGGGTGTTCTTAAATGTAATTTCATTGTGCTCCGTACAATGACAATAAAGGCATCATCAATCAATCAATCAATCAAATGAGACAAGAATGTGACAGTTTAGTCAAAGTTAAACACAAAACATTAAAGTTATTTACAATCGGCCCTTTGAGGGCCACCATAACCATCATGTGGCCCTCAGTGAAAATGAGTTGGACACCTACGGCGTCCTTCAGGACCATGTCCACCTGGGAGGACATCCTGGTTATGATTCACATGTCGATACTTCACCTTAGTCTTCCATATTTTAAGGCTTCAAAGACCTCTGTTCCCAGCTCTTACAGTTAAAGTTAAATGAGTCCGCTCCACAGAAATCTAACCTCTAATAATCATCCCTATGAAGCTGCCGTGAAGTAAAACACACACGCTGAGTCAGCAGCTAATCAACAGCTAACTGTGGACATCCAGCTTCAAASAGATGTCAGAAACACGGTCTGGCTGCACGCTTCAGTCACAGAGTTTRACTGTTTATCTGACGTTGCTTCGAGTCGTTCAAACAAGATGTGATTTGTGAGGAAGACAGAGAAATGTTGTCTTTTCTGTGGGCGGCTCTGTGGGCTGCTGGCTGGCAGAGCAGATGATGAGCTATGATTAAAAACAAACCGTAACTGTATCGACAGAAAGACAGCAGCACTTTTCAAAGAGCCCTTCATTGTGATGAAAAACCATCTAAAGTTTTTAACAAACGGCACATTGACACTAAAAAGAGAAACAACTAGTGATAATTATGAGGTCATGTTCTTCTTACCAAAGAAAACGAACGAGACGCAACCTAAAGGCAGGAACTCAAGCAAGAGAAGATTGTTTTCCAAACTAWATCTACAAACTTTTGTCTTTGTAGTCAAATGTCAATATTAGTATAAGATATAATTGATCACATCTGTCAAAGTTAGATCCTCACAATCCATGCTCGTTGTTTGCTCTTTAGTAACTCCAAGGGAATAAAAACTTGTGTTTGCTCTTTCTAAAGCAGAACAYACAATAAGAACATTCTTGCTGCTGATGATGATTGTTTTATGACGTATTTAATGACGGCCGTTTGTTCAGAATATGTGCTATGATCCCTCTTGGCCAGGTCACCTTTAGAAAACACATCTTGATCTTAATGGTTTCTTATCTGGTTAAATAAAGGAAAGCTCAAACAAGACGACACACCAAACACTTGTCCAATAGTTCCCAATCGTTGGCAAAGAAAAACTAAATGAATCCTTGGGAAAGCTTCAGAAACAAACTGTAAACCAGACGTTACCATGACCTGGTTTTACAGAAACCTGTACTTCAGGTTTGACCCAGATCACCTGTTTGGGTTTGATACAGAACTAGTTTCACAATCTCAATTTAGCTATATTTAATCAACTTTTTAGCCAAATTATTATTTGAAAAGGGGAAAATCCACTATTTATAATACATTTTGTTGTACTTTGAGTCTTTAGGAGGCAGAAACGTTGAATTTAGATATCTTTATATTCTGTCTATTCAGTCTGTTTCATTTTCTTTATTTATTACCTATTATTGAACAATAACGTCACGGCATTTGCTGTTAAACTGCTAACAAGATCATAACCAATTATGCAAATCCACCATTTTTATTTCCTGGGGATTTTGTAGTCCAGGTTCAAGGATGCCGGAGCTAAAATGTTTGAACCCACACAGTTGTTTCAGATGATTGGACACTACAGGAAAAGTGTGTCTCATATTTTAGTTTCTTGGTATGGAGGATGATGGGGGCTGTCGCCCTGCGTCCTTCGAAGGACCCGGCCTACCTGGTCTACRTGGACCGTGTCCTTTGTTGACCATGAAAGCCAGAAGAGAGCGGTTTTGGACGGTCTAGACTTCTCTGCAAAAATTATAATGGTTGTTGGGAGTGAGACCTGGAGGGGGYGGGGTGTGAAGCGCCTCGTTTGCATTTAAAGAGACAGCCTCAAAACGAGCTGCTCTCAGACGCACCTCAGAGCAGGGCTGAAAGAGGGGCTTGTGGAGCTACAATAACCAGGAACTCTAATCAAAGCATTGCAGTTCTACTTCATACTGAAGGTAGGTCACGTCTTCCTCGTGTTTCTAGGTTTAACCAAAACAACTCTGGTTTCTCAGCACTGGATGATCTGTTTGTGTCGACGCCTCTCTTGTAAATGGAATCTCTCAATGAGACCTTTAAATTAAATAATTAGGTAGACCAGGCGTTCTTAACCTTTCTGACCTCAGGGCTCAATTTATTGAACATAAAGTGACACGAGGTCCAGTCAGACATTACCAGTGTATGGATCAAAATGATAATTATTCTAAATCTTGGTTTAATTTTTATTGTATTTACATCTTAACTAAAACTAACATAACTAAATTAAATACACTTA